TTCACAAGCTGGCACACATGAACTGTACAATGCAATCAGCCTTACTTGTTCGTTCAGGCCGCTCACCCTTATTACTATCATGCACACTTTGTTCTTGTCACAGCTGGTTCTGGACCACATTGACCTGTACCTTCTGCCCGTGAACAGCTTCAACTCCCTGCTTGCGCTCTCCATCAACCAAGAAGTCAGCGCCGGGTCCCTTGCCTACAAGGTGCGTCCATAGTGCGTGCCCAGGCGCGTTTTGTTTCCTTGCGCATGCACAATTTGACTCGCACATATCCTGCTGGAGGACTCTACCTCGTGCACAATATGATTCATGGCGGCGCCCAACTGCTCATCGACAACCATCTCACGTCCCACACCAAACCTTGTCTGCCCGCCTCCCAATGGTTCTACGCTCCTCGCGTTTGTCCACGCCTTTGCCCAACTCGTCACACCTGCAGGTGCCGCGTGACTTCCCGCCTGGCAAGTACTGGATTGTGGCGACACACACGGCTGACGCATCACTGCAGGTCATCGGCTACACCCCAGACCGCGCCAACACGGTGAGTCGTTGTTGACTTGCAGTCTTCGTTATGCGCTTGTTTGCCGTTTGTTCATGTCCTCGCACGCACGCATGCACTCGCAAAACCACGCACGAAACAACGCACGCGCGCGCAAAGCTTGCGTACACGCCCCCCCCCTTTTTTTTTTTTGCCGTATTCCATCATGCCACTCACACAACGCCATATCCACGCTTGTATTGTCCTCCGCCACCCCATCCCCGCCTGCTGCCAGATTGGCGACACGGGCTTTGAGATCTTCCAGGAGGACTGCCCTTCACACGACAGCTGCGAGGACACAGAGTACTGCGACGCAGACGGCAGCTGCTACCCCTGCGACGACTGCTTCCGCACAGGCGCTGCCTTTGACGGCACTTGCCCGCAAAAATGCGGCACTGGCACCGTCATGGAGTTTGGCACCTCAATCCCCGACGGTACGTCACGTCATATGCTGCCTTGCCTTGCCGTTTTCTATTTTTTCCTTTACTTTTTTCTGTCCGCACATGAATGACGGCGCCGCGCACGCGCCTTGGGTTTTGTGGTTTGCACATCGTCAACGTCTCGTGTGCGCAGTCCCTTCATAGCGCTGTTGCCTCTTGCCCTTACATCACTCCCTATTCGAGGAAGGGGGGGGGGATGAACTCCCCCTTCCCCTCCCCCAACTCGCGATGGTTCTCGCTCTCGCTCACATTCAAGCACACCCACACATGCGCTATCCACCCTGCCCAACCAACCAACCAACAAACAGGCCCCGAGGCTGACGCGAGCGGCGTGATTCTGGAGTTCATTCTGCCGCAGTGCCCCGAGTTCAAAGCGCTGCAGCACCTGACGGCGACGGAGACAGTCAAGCCCGATCCGCCGACGTCCAACGGCGACCCGAGCGTCATGAGCAAGCGCCTGCGCCGGCACATCACCACGCTGGCCTCGGTCGTGCGCGGCGTGTTTGGCGACGACGCCTACGTGCGCGTGCTGGAGGCGTATGTCGAGCCGCCAGCAGACATCTCGAAGGCCTCGCTGCACAACGTTGGCCGCGCCGCCCGCATCACCATTGAGGGCGTGCCGGACGACTTTGCCAGCGACCGCCTCGGTGTGCTTGGCGGGTTGGCTGTTGAGGCCGGCTTTGACTACGTCGCCTACACCAGCCGCGACTCCCTGTACGTGTCTGTGATTGCAGACCAGTGCCGCCAAAACCTTGATCTCGTGTTTCTGCTCGACGGCTCGGGCTCCATCGAGTCCACCGCGCTCGGTGGTGCGCCGGGCACCTTCCAGGACCGCGTGCTGGCGTTTGTGTCGCAGGTCACCACCTACTTCACCATTGGCGAGCACGACACGCGCGTGGCCGTGGCCACGTTTGCCAGCGGCGCCACCGTCAACATCCGCCTCAACGACCACTTTGACGGCGACGCCCTTCGCGACGCCATCGCCGACATCCCCTACCCGCAGGGCCAGACGTACACGTCCCTTGGCCTGCGCGCCGTGCGCCAGGACATTCTCACGGAGGCCAACGGCATGCGCCCGGCCTCTGAGGGCGTGCCCCGCGTGCTGGTTGTGCTGACGGACGGTAACTCGCAGCCGTCGTACGACCCGGCCACGGAGGCGTCCATCCTGCACGACCAGAACGTCAACGTGTTTGCCATTGGCGTTGGCTCCTCCATCTCCCAGTCGCAGCTGGAGGACATTGCCAGCGACCCGGACGCGCGACACGTGTTCAACCTGCGCTCCTTCTCCCTCATTGGCGACATTGTCGACGCAATGAGCGCCACCACGTGCGACGCCCCCGCCGTCCTCACCGCCGGCGACTCCGTGTCCTCTGTTGTCCGCCCCTGCGAGACGCTCTTCTTCCGCCCGCTCTGCGGCCAGATCACCAACCTCAACATCGAGCTCAAGTCTGAGCGCGGCGCAGCTGTCATGTACGTCGCTTTCAACAACCAGCACCCGTCGCCCTTTGACTATGACTTTGCCGTCACGGGCACGGACGAGCTGAAGCGGCTCACGCTGAACCGCTCGCCAGACGACACAGACCCCGTGTACATTGCGGTGCAGGCCAACGTGCCCGCGGCCTCAGCCGATGACGAGGACGCCGCCTTGGCCGGCGTGGACTTTGTGCTCACCGTGTACAGCGACATCTTCCCCGGTGTTGCCGACACGGTTGTGCAGGTGGCGGAGGACCGCCCCGTTGGCACCGTCATCTTCACGCCGCCGGCCACGCAGCTCGCCGACCCGCAGCCCGTGTTTGAGTTCAGCCTCGTGGGGCGCACGGACGAGCAGTTTTCCATCGACGCCACCACGGGCGCCGTGTCCATTGCGCGCCCGCTGGACCACGAGCTCGTCTCCTCGTACAGGCTGCGCATCTCCGCACGCGCCATTGGCCTCCCCTGCCTCACCGGCGCCATCGACATTGTTGTCAGCGTGATTGACGTCAACGACAACGCGCCCGTGTTTGCGCAGTCGCTGTACCAGGTGGCCGTCGACGAGGGCCGCCCGCGCAACACGCTCGTGCTGCAGGTGCAGGCCACGGACGCCGACTCTGGCGCCAACGCCATGATTGTGTACTCCCTGGCCACGCAGAACGTCCCCTTTGCCATTGATGGCGCGAGCGGCGTCATCGTCACCACGGAGGTGCTCAACAACGACGTGCAGCAGGAGTACCAGCTCGCGGTGGTTGCCTCGGACGGCGTGCGCTCTGCCACGGCCAAGGTGTACGTCACCGTGAACCCCGTGCCCTGTCCGCTGGGCACGGCCTCTGCCACGGGCACGCTGCCGTGCGTGGCCTGCCCCGACGGCACGTTCCAGGACGGCTCCGCCCCCGTTGCCGACACCTGCTTCCCGTGCGGCTGCGGCGAGGGCGAGTACGCCACGGGCTCCTGCACCCCCAAGCACAACTATGACTGCCGCAGCTGCCCCGTGTACTCGTATAGCGAGGCTGGCTCCATCCAGCTTTCCGACTGCGAGTGCAAGGACGGCTACTTCAAGATCGAGGACGAGGGCACCAACACCTTCTTCTGCGCGCCCTGCACAGAGCAGTGCCCCGCTGGCTCCTACCAGACGGCCGCGTGCAGCCCCAAGCACGACATTGAGTGTGCCCAGTGCACCAGCACGTGCCCGAGCGGCCACTTCCTGAGCGGCACGTGCGGCGGCACGTCCAACTACGAGTGCACGCCTTGCGCCACCTGCCAGGCCGGCCAGTTTATCTCCTCGCCGTGCCAGGTCACGGGCAACCGCGAGTGCAGCGCGTGCACCACCTATGCCGACTGCGAGCAAGGCACCGAGTACATTGACGGCCTGTGCACCATGGGCACAGACACCAGCAGCCCCAGCTGCCAGCCGTGCATCGACACGTGTGCCCCCGGCGCGTTCCTCACGGGCGAATGCGGCGGTGCAGACGGCACCTCCCGCACACGCTGCCAGCAGTGCACCGTGTGCACGACAAGCCAGTACCTGGTGAGCGACTGCACCGACGACGCCGACCGCCAGTGCGCCGACTGCGTCACGGAGTGCGACGCTGGCTCGTACCTCGTTGGCGAGTGCAACCCCATGTCCACCGACGCCCCGCGCTGCGAGCCATGCACAACCGAGGAGGATTGCGAGGACAACGAGTACCTCGACAACGGCGTGTGCGGCGGCTCCAGCACCCCAGAATGCCAGACGTGCCACCCGTCGTGCCTGGCATGCGACGGCCCCGGTCCCGAGAGCTGCACCGACTGCCCCTCCGGCACCAGCCTGCACGAGGGCGCGTGCCTTTCAGAGTGCCCCCTCGGCACGTACTCTGTCGACGGCGAGTGCCAGGCGTGCTCCAGCAACTGCCTCACTTGCAACGGCACCAGTGACACGTGCACGTCCTGCGACACGGCGGCCTCCTTGGTGCTGCACGACTCGGAGTGCGTGAGCGTGTGCCCCGACGGCTTCTTCAAGGACTTTGCCGGTGGCGTCTGCCGTCGCTGCAAGACCTGCTCTGGTGGCACGTACAAAGTGGGCGGCTGCCAGGGTGCCACCAACACCCAGTGCGAACCCTGGAGCGCCGAGTGCGTCCCTGGCGTGTCGTTTGAGTCTGTGACACCGACACCCTCCAACGACCGCGAGTGCACGATGTGCAAGACGTCCTGTCCCGCTGGCGAACAGCTCACTGGAGAGTGCATCACTGAGGACCGCACGTGCGTGCCTTGCCCTTCAGGCACATACAAGGAGGCTGCCGGAGGCCAGGCGTGTGTGCCTTGCCCCACCTCCTGTGCACAGAACGAGTATTTGGACGGCACGTGCACCGTCACCACCTCAACCGGTACGACAGCCCTTGCATGCTTGCATATGCGGATTGTGTGCGTGTGTGTCTCTGTGTGTGTGTGTGTGCGTGCGTGTGTGTGTATGCGTGTGTGTGCGTGTGCGTGTGCGTGATTTTGGTTGACCTGGGTTGCTTGCGTTGTCGTGCTGTTTGACATGTGCTGCATCAACCTTTCTTTGTCCAGTTCACTCACACAAACACACATTCACACACGTTAACGCACGTTGCCACGCACGCACATCTACGCACACCCCACCCACCTCAACCCCCACATGTGTGTGTGTGTATTCTCTTTTCACAGTGTGCCGGGCGTGCACGACCGAGTGCGAAAACGACATATATCTGTCTGGAACGTGCAACGGCACCCGCAGCTACCCCACCTGCGAGGAGTGCTCGACGTGTGGCGAGGACCAATATGTGTTGCGGGCGTGCAGCTCTGCAAACGGCGGCTCCAACACCGTGTGCCGCGACTGCACGCAGACGTGCCCAGAGGGCCACTACATGTCTTCCCCTTGCTCCGCCAACGCCGACGCAGTGTGCACGCCATGCACGACCGCAGACGCGTGCCTGTCGACCGAGGTCCTCATCGGCACATGCGGCGGTACCGAGACAACGCAGTGCGTGCCCTGCCACCCGGAGTGCCTGACCTGCTCTGGCCCCTCCGCCAGCAACTGCACGTCGTGCGAGCGCGGCGTCTTCCTCAGTGGCACCGAGTGCCGGACAGAATGCGACCTCGGGTTCTACCCAAGCACGGCCTCTGGCGAGTGCGAGCTGTGCCACCCGTCGTGCCGCGACTGTGTTGGCGCCACGTCCACTGCTTGCACCTCCTGCAACAGCCCGCTCTTCCTTCTTGGCACGGAGTGTGTTGCTGGCTGCCCCACGGGCTACTTTGGCGATACCACCAGCCAGACTTGCCGTCAATGCCGCCAATGCCCAACGGGCACGTACAAGACGGGCGGCTGTGATGGCACACAGGACACTGTCTGCACCGTGAGTTTTTGGGTGGAGACCTTGTGTTTCCTCGCGAGCATGTTTGTGTGTGTGTGTGTGTGTGTGTGTGTGTGTGTGTGTGTGTGTGTTCACTCGCTCACTCACAAGTCATGTCGCACATTTTCTCCTTCCTTTTCTGCCCGATTCATCCTTGCTCGGCTCGTTTCTTCAATTGTACACTCATTTCCTGTCACAACAGATGTGGACGCCATGCGCTGTTGGCGAGTACGAGGTTGTGTCTCCCACGGCCTTCCGTGACCGCGAGTGCGCCGCCTGCCGCCAATCGTGCCCAGCAGGCTCTGAACTCGTTGGCGAATGCGGTGGCCCGGAGGGCACAAGGTGCGTTTGCTCGTGTGTGTGTGTATGCATGTATTGTGACAGCAGTTCCTCCTATTTTGAGCCTTGTCCTTGAGCCACCACCCCCGACTTACTCACCATCACTCACCCACACTTCCCAATCCAAACAACCAACACACAAACACCCCTCCCCCCGGCCACACAGCAACCCCTCGTGCGAGCCGTGCGATGCCGGCTTCTTCAAGGAGGAGCCTGGTGCAGGCTCGTGCCAGGCCTGCCGCACGTCGTGCGAGGCCGGCTCCTTCCTCACGGGCCAGTGCTCCACCACCACCCAGCCCACGTGCCAGCTGTGCAAGTCGTCGTGTGGGCCCGATCACTACCTGACCGGCGTGTGCGAGGGCCGCCAGGACTTCACGTGCGAGGCGTGCAACACGTGTGAGGAGGGCGAGTACGAGGTTGCCCCCTGCCTCGGGTCTGGGCAGAACAGGCAGTGCGCCACGTGCCGCACGTCGTGCCCGGCTGGCCAGTTCCTTACCGGCATGTGCCAGGGCACCACGCAGCCGCAGTGCATGTCCTGCCGCACGCAAGAGGACTGCGCAGAGAACGAGTTTGTCAGCGGCGAGTGCGGTGGCGCCGACGGTCGCCAGAACCCAACGTGCGAGTCGTGCGATGGCTCGTGCGCTCGCTGCGACGGCTCCGCCCCCACAGACTGCGTTGCCTGCAGCGGCAGCCTCAGCCTGGACACGGACACGGGCCGCTGCGTCTCAGACTGCAGCGCTGGCACCTATGCCGCGGACAACGTGTGTGAGGACTGCGACCCCAGCTGTGCAGCCTGCTTTGGCGGCGCCTCCACGGAGTGCACCGCCTGCTTCCCAGACACCTTCCTGTCCAACGGCCGGTGCGTGGCCACGTGCCCGCAGGGCACCTTTGCCAACGCCACCACAGGCCGCTGCCAGACGTGCTCCCAGTGCCCCTCGGGTACGTTTGTCGAAGCCGCCTGCACCACCACCTCAAACACCGTGTGCACGGCGTGGACGGAGTGCGCACCGGGCACGTACCAGTCGACCGCGCCAACCACCACCAGCGACCGCGTGTGCTCCACGTGCACCACAACCTGCCCCGCCGGCCAGGAGCTCAGCGTCTCCTGCACGCCCACGCACAACGCGCAATGCACCGCCTGCAACGCCGGCACGTACAAGCCCAGCAGCGGGCCCCAGGCCTGCCAGGCGTGCGTGCAGTCTTGCAGCGAGGGCTACTACGTCTCCGGCACCTGCACCGCCACGTCCACCCCCACGTGCATCCTGTGCACGTCCACCTGCGCTGAGGGCTTCTTCCTGCAGGGCGAGTGCGCGGGCAGCAGCAACCCGCACTGCGAGGCGTGCGACACGTGTGACATTGGCAAGTACGAAACGCGCGCTTGCACGCTGAACAGCGACCGCCAGTGCTCCGCCTGCACCACGCCCGACGCCTGCGCACAGGGCGAGTATCTCGATGGCGAGTGCACGCCCACGTCCAACCCGCGCTGCAAGCCGTGCACCACGACCTCCCAGTGCGGCGCAGACCAGTTCCTCGCCGGCGAGTGTGCGGCGGATGCCCCAAACCCCACCTGCACCACGTGCACGACGTGTGCCGGTGACGAGTACGAGGCTGCCCCTTGCACGGAAACGTCCGACCGCCAGTGCGCCAAGTGCACGGACGCGTGCCCGAACGGCCACTTCCTGACGGGCGCCTGCCCAGGCAGCCTGGCCGCAGACTTCCCCCGCACCGTGGTTGTGGACGGCGTGACGTACGCTGCCCTCGATGCCACCTTCCCTGAAGACACGTCCACGTCCTGCCAGGCGCAGGCAAGCTTGCCTTCTGGCTGGTCGCTCGTCACCAACGTGGACGTTGCGCGCGATGTGGCTGCTCAGCACCCGTGGGGCGCGTCGTGCCTTGTGGTGAGTGCCGAGCATGCGTTTGCCACCGCCAACTCTGCCACCCTCAGCCCTGGCGACGCGTGCCACTGCGACGAGCAGCTCGGCTGCATGACCTCCAGCAGCAGCGGGCTTCTTGGTGTGACCGCCTGCCCCCGCCGCATCCTAATGCAGTGGGCACCGCCCGCGTGCCAGCAGTGTACCTCCTCCTGCCCGGACAACCACTTCCTCGACGGCGAGTGTGGCGGCCGCTCCAACCCGGTCTGCCGCCCTTGCACCGTCTGCGAGGAGGGCTTCTACGAGACGGTTGCCTGCACCCACCTCGACGTCGGCACACAGGACCGCGTTTGCGAGCCATGCGTCACAGGTGCGTGTATTGTGTGCTTGGTAGTGTGTGTGTGTTCATGCACGTGTTTTTGTGTGTGTTTGTGTGTGTGTGTGTGTGTGTGTGTGTGTGTGTGTGTGTGTGTGTTTTTGTGTGTGTGTGTGTGTGTGTGTGCATGCACGTGTATGCGCTCCACTTACAGCTCGCTGCTCGACAACATGGTTTTGTTCCACTCACACAACCCTGCTCCTGCTCCTGCAATTCGCCATTTGCAGAGGACGACTGCGCTGAGGGCGAGTACCTGTCTGGTATGTGTGGCGGCACTTCAACGCCTACTTGACAGGCATGCACAGAACTCCTGCCAGAAGGCTTCTTTCGTCAGCGGAACATGACAGCGTACATTCAATCAATAACATTTGGGGGGGGGGGTGAATATGTACTGCCCTATGTGCTCGGTTCCGACGTGCGCGTCAAGCTGACCGGAAATTTAAGACAATGGCACGACACAGGCTATTATGTGTTATCCTATCCTGTTTTATCGAATTATGGTCCGCCTGAACGCAACTAAATGGAGCTGCGCATGGATGTAGAGTCGAAGCAGTTGCACACTCCGTATTGGTAGCTTTAAGCAAATGCATCCTGTCGTACCGACCCAAAAAGCCGCAATAAAGTTCACACGCTGGATGCTTCGAGAGTCCTCCCAAGACGCTTCCCCAAGATAGTGGCCTGCAAGAACCGTGCTTTACTATTTTCTGAATTTAATTATACCTATGTGTACTACTTGGCGGCGCCGAAGAAACAAAGTGCAACACATTGCGAGAGTGGAAGAAAAAATATACCCCCCCTTTTTTCCGTTCTCTGTCTGTCTGTCACACGCACACACACACACACACGCACTCTCTCTCTCTCTCAATCACTGTAGCACTCATTTTACCGCTTGTTCGCTGTCTTTATGTTTGTGAACTCCAAATGCTGCGTTCTTGTTTCACGCTTTGCAGGGCACGTCTAACCCGGTGTGCACGCAGTGCTCACCGTGCGCGGAAGGCGATTCGTTTGAGGTGTCTGCGTGCTCTGCGACTGCCGATACGCAGTGCCAGTCGTGCACCACATCCTCCGACTGTGACCTCAACCAGTACCTCTCGCAGCCCTGCACGCTGTCGACCGATGGCGTGTGCACACGCTGCACACAGGTGGGCGACTGCGACTCTGGCTTCTACCTCGACGGCGTGTGCACAGAGACGCAGGACGCCTCGTGCCAGCCATGCCACCCGAGCTGCACAGAGTGCGAGGACGGCACTGCGCAGGGCTGCACCGCCTGCCCCGAGACGCTTGCGCTTGATCGCATTGGCTTTGGTAACGTCGGTTCCTGCGTCAGCTCGTGCCCGCCCGGCCAGGCTGAGGATGTGGCAGCCAACACGTGCGAAAACTGTGACAGCAGCTGCGCCACGTGCTCTGCGCCTGGCGACGCCACCAAGTGCACCTCGTGCACGGGTGTCCTCTTCCTCACCCCGAGTGGCACCTGTTCCTCATCCTGCCCAGCTGGCATGTACGGCAACGCCACCACCAACACCTGCGTGTCCTGCACCGCCTGCGACACGTCCTCCTCCTACGAGAGCAGCCCGTGTGGCGGCACAGACAACCGCGTATGCTCCGACCTCACCATGTGCCCGCCAGGAACACACGTGATTCAGCAGCCAACAGCAACCAGCGACCGTCGCTGCGGTGATTGCGGAGAAGGCACGTACCAGCCAGCCTCCAACCAGGCCATCTGCATTGTTTGGGCCGAGTGCCACCCGCAGGAGCAGTACGAGTCTGTCGCGCCAACATCCACCTCCAACCGCGTGTGCACAGATCTCACAGAGTGCACACCTGGTGCCGAGTTCCAGCTCACCGCGCCCACTGAGACTTCGGATCGCGTCTGCAAGGCCCTCACCACGTGCAAGGTTGGTCTCATTGTACACTTGTCTACTTGTGTAAGCATCTTTGATTGTGCATGCAGGTGCTTGTGAGTGTGTGTCCTTAGTGCGTCTCCTTTGTGTGTGTGTGTGTGTGTGTGTGTGTGTGTGTGTGTGTGTGTGTGTGTGTGTGTGTGTTCTTCAGTAGCATTGCACGTCCTCTGCCATCACCCCTCTGCCAACATAACTGTCACCCTCACATCTACTCCTCATTTTGTTTTGCTTGTCTCTGTTTCCCTTCATGGTCCTCTACTGCAGGCCAACCAGTGGCAGTCCATGGCTCCAACAGCGACCACGGACCGCCAGTGCACAAACTTGACCGTGTGCGCTGCAACCGAGTACCAGTCCATGGCTCCCACAGACACATCTGACAGGCAGTGTGAACCCATCACCCAATGCCAGGTTCGTGCCTCACACGTGGATGTCTGGGCTCTTACTTCATCCTCTCTGAACGATTTGCTCGCTCGATGTTGTCCTTTCTTTTTCCCTTGTATTTCATCCCCCCCTTCCCCTCCTGTAACCAAACAAACGAACAAATGGTGTGCGCATATCTCGCCTCACCTCACCCCACCCCGAATTTTATTTTCCTTCTGCTGCCCGTTTTGTGACAGGCGCACGAGTACGAGAAGACGGCTGCCACCCCCTTCAGCGATGCTGTGTGTGAGGCCATCCGCAACTGCACGCAGAACGAGTACCAGACACAAGCGCCAACAGCCACGTCCAACCGCGCGTGCGCTCCGCTCACCACATGCGACTTTGAGACGCAGTACATCTCCACGCCGGCCACCCCAACCTCCAACCGCGTGTGCTCCGCCCTGCGCTCGTGCTTCCAGCACGAGTTTGAGTCGCAGCCGCCAACCACAACCACCAACCGCGCGTGCACGGAGTGCGCCATGTGCGGCTCCACGCAATACGAGCGCGCAGACTGCACCGCCAACACCAACCGCGTGTGCGAGGACCTCACCCAGTGCAAGGCGTCGCAATTTGAGGCCGTGCTTGCCACCCTCACCTCGGATCGCGAGTGCAGCAACTGCACTGTCTGCGGAGACAACAGCTACACCGTGAGCCCGTGCAGCAACGTCGCCGATACCGTTTGCGATGGCTGCACCACCTGCCCCATGGGCTCGTTTGCTGCCGCAGCGTGCACCGCGACCAGCGACACAGACTGCCAGGCGTGCGCCACGTGCGACGCAGGCTTTTTCGTCTCCTCGCCCTGCACACAGGGCTCGAACACGCAGTGCACGCGCTGCACCACGTGCCAGCCGGACGAGTACCAACAGGTGGCTTGCTCGGCCAGCGCCGACGCCCTGTGCCAGACCATCACCAACTGCACCCAGTCCCAGTACCAGGTGAGCGCGCCCACGGCCACCACCAACCGCGTGTGCAGCGCTGTGCGCGAGTGCACCGCTGGGCAGGAGTACGAGACGCAGGCTCCGACGGCCACGTCCAACCGCGCCTGCGCCCCGCTCACCACATGCGACTTTGAGACGCAGTTTGAATCGCAGGCGCCAACAGCAACGAGCAACCGCGTGTGCACGCCGCTGTCGTCGTGCGACGCTGAGACGCAGTACGAGACCCAGGCACCGACACAGACGTCTGATCGCGAGTGCGAGGGCCTGGCGACGTGCGTTGCGGGCGAGTTTGTTGCCACGCAGCCCACGCCGACGTCGAACCGCGTGTGCGCCAGCTGCCCCGCAGGCACGACAGACCATGACAGTGACAGCGAGACGGCGTGCGTTGCGTGCCCGGCGGGCCACTTTTCAAGCGCAGGCTCCATCGGCCCTTGCTCGCTGTACATGTGCCCTGCTGGCACCGCCGACACGGACAACAGTGCCAGTACCCCATGCGAGGCGTGTGATGGCACTTCGTCGTTCCAGCCCGCAGCGGGCCAGGCCGCATGCTTGCAGGCGACCACGTGTGTGGCTGGCGAGGAGGAGCAGGACGCGCCAACCGCCGTGAGCAACCGCGAGTGCAGGCCATGCCAGCTCGGCGTCACGTACAAGGCACAGCCGGGCCAGAACACCACCTGTGCAGCGGTGCGCACCTGCTTGGCTGGGGAGGAGCAGACGCTTGCGCCCACCCTCTCCTCCAATCGCGTGTGCACCACGTGTGGCCCCGGCACCTTCAAGGCCGCTGCTGGCCAGGCCCACGGTCTTGCATCGCCACCCAGAACCTGCGCCCCAGGCTTCCAGGTGTGTGTGC